TGTCATTCTGAAGTGGTGGACCAATATGTTGAATATCGTTCAACGACTTACCGGACGACGTCGCTGCGCTTGCATCGAAAACAGTGCGCAGTTTAGTCGTACTGCTATTTTCGTTAATAACGCCGTGATGCGGCAAAAAATAGTGGGGTGACTCATAAGTTTCAACGCAACTCATATGACCGAGCCTTTCATATTCCCCCATAAAATCTACGTATTTTTCCCTAAATTGTGGCGAACGAGCGAATTTTCGTTCTAACGACAACAAACGTTTTTCAGCCGTTGTGTAACTGTCTCCGAGCACATCAGCTGATTGCTTTAAAGGAATGCGTACGGAAAACCTACCATCTTCCATACGTTTTGTCGTTTTGACAAAAATGTCTTCGCACGCACGTTCGTCAGCACTAAGGATGTTTTTATTAACGTTATTGTTTATCTCTTCGAGTTCCCAAAATAATTTCAACTGTGTGTCAATTGTTTGGGAGAAATTACATTGCACACTCTTAACGGGAAGTGGATTATTATGTAAAGGGCCCGACATTATCCAACCCAATTTTGTATTTTGTAAATAAGGTCCTTTATTCAACTTAATTTTGCCATCACACAATAATTCCCAGAACTTATCCGCGCCTATCAGTATATCGATGTCTGACGGTGAGTGAAAGTTCGGATCCGCAAGTTGAATATTATCAGGTAAACTCATATTATTTACATCGACACTAAATGTGAGTAATTGATTTGTAATACACGGCAACACTAAACAATCAATGTTCATACAAAACGAATTTAACCTTGAACGTAATTTTATTTTACAAATGTGGGTGGACTGCGAAATTGTTTGACCTACCCCAGCAACGTGATAAGTGGACTGTATTAACGGTGCATTTAATGTTTCACATAACGATTTCTTTATGAAACAATGTTGACTACCATTATCAAGCAGAATGCGTACAGTGTGATATTTGTTATTATAATCTGCTATGTCCACTAACGCTGTGGACAGAAAAACGTTGGGTAATAATGAATATTCTTGATTACTGTTTTGCGATTCTGAATGGTTAGCCGTAACGTGTAATGATGACGAGACAGTGGAGACGTTAGCGGTGACCGGCTGTGCTGATGCACTCGACCCGCTCACCTGTGATGCGCCGTCTACCTGCCCATCAATGTGAAGCAAACTGTTGTGCCTTTTATCACACAACCTACATGGCCCAAACTTGCATTCGTCAAGTGGGTGGTTTGTTCACCGCCTTTGTTCTCGTGGGATTTGTTATGGTTCACTTTTATCATTTCTAAAACGTCGGCGCGGTCCTTTAGAAATTTAAGTAAGTCATCCAGTTTCAAAGCTGACCTTGATTCAATTAAAGAACTAGCTGTACTTTGAAAATCTTCCCATTCGCGTTCAGTGGCCTGATCTAATTTGGAAACGACCATGTATATGATTAAAGTGTCCCATGAATCTGTTGGTTCACCTAACGTTTTAAGGGCACGCAAATTTCTCAAAACAATATCTATTAAGTTCCTAATCTGGGAAGCGGACTCTTTATTTAACGATGGAATTTTAAATAATGCCTTCACATGATTATGAACCAATAGTCGCGGATTATTAAATCTATTCTCTAATAGCTCCCATGCGTGAGAATAGTTATTAGCCGTAAATTCTAATGCACCTATGACGTGTGCCGTGGTACCGGACAATGACGATTTTAAATAATGAAATTTTTGAACAGGACCTAAATCATCGCGATCATGAATCATACTAACGTAAGAATTTTTAAACTCTAGCCAGCAATCGTATGAACCGTCAAAGGAAGGTATTTTAATATCGGGTAACTTTATGCCTAACGGCTTACATGTTGAAAGACTAGACTTGTCAGCTACTTCCTTTCTCAATAAAAGTTTTGCAGAAGCTACAGCACAATAAAATTGATTTTCGAAACGATCTCTCTCTTCCAGCTGTTTTACAAGATCGAGATCTTCCGCTACCTCTTCTTCAATTTTAGTCTGTATTTCACTATACATCTCTATCAAACTCGAAGTACTCTCGACACGTAAATTTAATTCTAATGACTGTTGTTCAGTCAAGGGTAAAGTGAACTTTTTAACATAATTTTCAAACAGAGTTAATCGACCTTTTAAAACTCCTCTTTTCTTAATTAAATCTGACAATTTAGGCTCACTCATTTTGGGAATTAAGGAAATCAAGAGTACTTACAGTTGCAAATTTGTAGATGTGTGCGAACCAAGGTGGGTGCCGTTGCGCAGGTAGGTACCGCCACCTGACCACTGCCACTCCTGTCTGTCGATGCCTTAACGTTGCAGCTCGTCGCTTGATACGTGAATCTCCTCTTCGTATTTTGATGCGACGAATCTTCGGAGATTTCAAGCTTGAACTCCTTATCCGGCTCGAAGGACCACTTTATGTACAGGAACGGGAGGCAGGTGCACTTCAATGATTGATTTATTGAACGTTTGTTGGTTATATTTAAGTCGTCTTATTTCTAACAGTGTGTATCAGGTAATAATCAAAATTTAAAACAGACAGATCTTATAACTAATTGCACGACGTGCTGTGATTGGTTGCTAACAATGACGAGCTCTGATTCGTAGCGAAAAGTTTGGTGTTCCGGTGCGTCGCTAGGCGGCGTTAGAAGTCGCGCCAACAGACGAGTTTTTAAATGTATACCTACCAAGTGTAGGTATACATTTAAAAACTCGTTAAATATAGGTTAAAAATCCGCTCTTATTAAATTCATATCACACTGAAATCATACATAAACACTCACGCCTGTCACCCAGAGGGGTAGGCAGAGACTACGGACTTCCATTTGGCACGGTGCTGACATACCTCTTTCGCCTCCTTTACATCCATGCTCGTCGGTTAAGGGTACTTCTAACGTGGCCCATTTTCAAAATATCGCCAATTTGGTCGATAAACTTTTTTCTATGGCGTCCCTTCCCGACTCGGCCGTTCACATCTGCCATATAAATTTGCTTTGTCACTCTTTCCTCATTCATTCTTTCTACATGACCAAACCACCGAAGCATTCCTTTCTTAATCTTGGTCACAACATCATCTTGCATTCCACATTTATCTCTTATCACGCAATTTCTCACCCTGTCATTCAAATTCAACCCTAGCATATTCCTTAAAGACCGCATTTCTACAGCATTTATTCTACTTTCGTGCTTCTTCTGCCACACCCAGCTTTCACTACCATACATTAAAGTAGGGACTAACACAGCGTTATGAATTACCATACGTGCCTTTTTTGACACATTCTGGTTCTTCATAATAGAGTGTAGTGCCCCATTTACTCTATTCCCTGCATTTACTCGTCGTTCTATATCCCTATCATATCTACCATACTTGCTAAATACACATCCCAAATACACAAACTCATCCACTTGCTCAATTAACTCTCCTTCTATTCTTATTTCACATACCATTTTGCTTTCTTCTCTTTCAAAAACCATCACTTTCGTCTTACTTGCGTTCACTTTCATTCCCCTTTCTTTTAATTCCCAGTTCATTAATGTAACCATCATTTGCAACTCAGCCGCCGATGACGCAAATATGACTTGATCATCGGCATACAAAAGGCATTTGACGGTTAACTCGCCCATTCTTAACCCACATTCTTCATCTTTCAAAGTTTGCAAACACCTATCCTATAGGTTGAACAGCCAAGGGGAAGCTACACAGCCCTGTCTGACACCTTTTTGGATGCCAAACCAGTCCGAGTAGACCTATTGATCCTGACACAAGCATGTCTTCAATAATGCCTGTATCAAACCAACGCTCAACCCATATGAGTTCAGTGTTTGCCATAACACATTCCTGTCCACTCCGTCATAAGCCTTTTCCAAGTACATGAACGCACAAAAAACTTTCTGGTTTTTGGCCAAAAACTTCTCCGCAATCATGCGCATGGAAAAGACTTGATCTGTACACCCCATTCCCTTTCTAAAACCCGCTTGCACATCCCAAATTTTTCCATCAGTTTCTTTCATAACTCTTTCAATTAACACCTTAACATACAGTTTACCCACAATACTAAGCAAGCTGATATCACGGTAGTTTTTGCAGTCCTGCTGTGACCCTTTTCCTTTATATATTGGTACTATAATTGCTTTACACCAGTCATCCGGTACCCGTTTTAATTCCCAACATAAATTAATTAAGGCGTACAGCAGGCCTGCCACCACTCCCTCTTTAGCCCTTAGCATCTCGAGTGATACTCTATCATATCCAGCTGCCTTACCTGCTTTCATGCTTTTCATTGCTTTCATTATTTCATCTACACTTATCTCCATACCCCTTTCCACTTCTTTCGGAATTTCTAGTTCATTTAATTCAGACGACTCTTCACTCAAAAACACGCTTTCAAAGTATTCGTTCCATCTGTTTAAATTCGAAACTTCATCATTCAGAATACATCCATTCTCGTCTCTTATAGCATTAATTATAGGCTGTTTTGTATTTCCCCTGGCAGTTCTTACGAGTTTCCAGAACATTTTTATGTTAGCCTGGAAATTATCAGATATCCTTCTATCATTCTTATCCGTTCTTTCTTTCTTTTTCCTTTCAACAACTTCTTTTACTCTCTCATTTAGACGTCAAAATTCTGCCTTTTTTCTTTCAATCTCATCATTCATACCAGAAGAATTACCAGCTTTGGTTGCTAGTAAATCTAACCATGCTTTCTTCTTTGATTCAACTTCCACCCGTACCTCATCATCCCACCACAACGTATTACTTTTCCTTTCATTTGTTCTCTTACTTACACCACATACTTCGGTGGCGGCATCCACCAAACCTTTCTTAATATTATCCCACACAGTATTCAAGTCTAAATCATTCATACACAACTCATTCAAACATCTAATATTTTCTCTAAGTCTACATTTATACTTCTCTTTCACATCTTCATCTTGTAACTTCTCTATACTGAAATCATTTAGCTTATTTAACAATTTTTTTATTTTTTATTTTCATGCAGAAGACAAATTGCATATTTAGAAATTTCTTTGAGTCAAACAGAAGAAAGAATGAAAGAAGAGAGCGATAAAGTGGTAAAGTTTTATATGGAGAAAATCAGTTGGCTGGAAGAGCATCACCATCTTTATAAAAAATGGATGGAAGAAAACACTTCTTCATTAATTGAAAGGCATAATGCTGAAAAAGAAATGCTGCGAAAACAACATTTAGAGGATGTAAACGTATTACAGGAACACCATTCAGCGCTCATGGAGAATATAAAGTAAGATTAATATAAATAGCGAGTGACGACTCCGTGGCGTAGTGGCTTAGCAATGAGCGGCTGCGCTGGGGGTTGCGGGTTCGAATCCCGCACGGAACAAATATTTTGTATAGCCTACAAATAATTGTTGCGGGTCTGGATGTTTGTCCTTGTGCAATTTATGTTTGTAAACTGCCCCCACGATACAGGAGAAAATCCTAGTGTAGGGGTAACGTTTTAGAAATAAAAAAAAATAAATAAAAAAATAAAAAAATAAGATTTAATAGTATTCGAATGGTTGCTGGGCTTTTCGCACCCAAGAATTAAAAAGTTTTAATCCCGACATGGACAAATGTTTTGTAAGCATGGACTTATAAAAAAGAAGTTTTTTATATGTCCATTAGTTACGTCGGGCAGGGGTTGGCTAAGACCTAAGACGAATGAGTATAAGTTATTTTGCGCAATAGTCAGATATTAAAACAGTTTTGAAACTGTTAACCGTTACACGTTTTATATGTGGTAGAGCCATGCTTCGGCTATATTAGTATTTAAATTAAAAAAAATGAAATAAGAATTTTTATTTGGAAACTACGAGTGTACTTCAATGAACCATACTTCATTGGACCCTCCACTAGTCTACCACTAGTGATCGAAATTGAAGTTTCATATATTTAAAAATGGTAGACTACGATCAGCTAAACAGATATATTATTAGTAACTTATTTACAAAACCAATAAGATTATTTTTTCTTTTCTATAACCTCAAAACTCGAATCATTTAGATTTTGGACTGATATGTAACATTGGTAACAACATAATAATTTGTTTTGAAAATTTAATTTCGGCGGATATGCTCCTGGCGTATTTTAAACTACGGTGAATACTTCCAAATATTTGAAAACTATCAACAGCGCAGAAGATACTATAATCATAAATAACTAATGTCCTCCAAACCGAATTTCAGTAACGGAGGTTAAAATCAACGGAGACTAGGCGTCTACGCAGGACAGGATTGTAGTGCCCGAGTGAATATGCAAGCACTTTCTTGGCATTCTTTATTCCGTTACTCTCATAGCCCGATGGGAAGGTAAACCGACTCTACCGAAGAGAGATCATTCGCAGGACCAATGGCTTTACGTGCTTTCCATAGCACGGGGGTGAGCTTTCTCAAAGGGGGTGAGACACCGCCAACTTCATATATATATAAATAGTACTCAGTTTACTGACTTCGTTCTATTGTATAGGAGGCAGGGCTGAATGTAAAGTCACAGACAAGGGGTCAGTTACAATACAACCAGTCCCAAAAACCAATTATTATATGCATTATATGTTGCCGGGGTGCAAATTTTGTTGCGGGTAATTTGACCAGGCTGCTGTGTACAGTACTCAGTAATTTGCTCCTCGTTGTTTTTCATTCAAAATTTGAATCAATATTTAGATTGTGACGCCACGGTAGGGACAAGTTCTCAGCAAATGTACAGTAAGCGAATGGTACGTGAGTCATCAATAGATAGGTCGACGATCGACTGATGGACAAATCGTGTGAAATAATTTTTGTTGTTTTTACCCCGGAACTTGTAATTTGACAGGAACCTATAAATAATTTATAAGATTGTGCTCACCTATAAAAATAATAGTATAACATATATTCATGAAATAATAAATTCTAACTCATAAGTTAAGAAAAACAATTTGTGTGCGTTTTCAGAAACGCTGTAAAACAGGAGCAAGTTTTAATCCAAGACTCGGCAGGGTTTTCTACAGATATGCAACATTTAATAGTAGATATAAAAGAGAATAAAATAAAATGTCAGCAACTCGTAGAAAAAGTTGAAACGTTGACTGGCAATACACAACGTGAAGCAGAAAGGAGTTTGCAGCTGCGAGAGACCCAAGTTAATGGTATTATTGAAATTCGTTGATCATGTCATGATAAGGGTCGATTTTAGCGATTTGCGTAAATTCTTAATAATTCGGGATATTACTTACAGCTCCAAAAATAAGAAAATTTTGATTAAGGATCAGTCATGTGGCAACGGCAGAAAGGGACCCATTTCCAGTCTCATCTGAGGTTTTCCATAGTCTGATAGTCAATAGACTAGAGTTTGTTAGCACTGTTATTATTAATAATGAGAATACCATATATAATAATAAAAATAACAGTTACGAGACAAAACTGCTACGTCGGCGCAGTCAGTCAGCACCTTGCAAGAGGTGTTAGCGCCGTGCCTCGGCAAAATTTAGGCTGCAAGCGACGGTGCCCGCTTGTGCATATGACCCCATCGTGAAAGCGTGTCGGGTCTGGACGTCTCCCGTTAACTGACGCCCATTAAATGGATGATGGAAACGAGAAGAAAGCGCAAACGGCCACTGTCTGGAGATCGCCAGAGTGCGTCTGGAGCCGGCGCTAGACGCGAGAGCATCGAACCGGCAATCGAGCGCGAAGCAATGCATGACCACCCAGCAACCTCTCACATCCATCATCCCCACCAGCTGGCTTGGTGTGGGTAGGGTCTTCGCGGGCCCGGCAATCGGCGCCCACCACCGTTGGAGTACGTCGCATGCGATGGACAATCCAAATGAATGGCAACGCCTAGCGGGCGTATTTTAGGGCGAAAGGGGGAAAATTTAGAGGTTTAGCGTACAGGGTTAGGATGCATCCGTCAACTGAGCAAAACTTGGCAGACCGAGTTCGGTACATCTTGCGCTCTGGAGCCGAACTCGAACGGTTACGACGTGAGACTGTTCCCAGATCGAATGAGAATGCCATGGCTGGAAATGCGGCGCCACAAGCTGTAGAGCAACCCGCACAAGTGGATGCCGCCGTGAATCTTCCAGTTGTAGTTGACACAGACGATGATGGATTAGTCACTCATGAACTAGAGCTAATGAGCAGTACATCGGAAGAGGCGACAACGGAAACGCGCAGTATGCCTCTCGAAAATCGACCTAAGAAAGCGGAATCGGACTGTCAAGCCAGCTAGGACCTTTGCGAGTAAGACTCAGTCCTTTTTGGCGCCACACTGGCAGTTTGCTGTATTATGGCGCCAAGCTTTCCACGGCTGGACGCGCTACTGGGCAAAGTAGTGCTATACCAGCCTGGACAAAAACAATTGAGGACCGTATCGCAAGGGCAAGGGCCCTCATCGCCAGTCTGACAAGCTTCAGGTCGGGTATTATAGGCCGAGAGTTATGCGAACCGTTAGAATGGCATTTGCTGGGACAATTATCAGTTTGTCCCAGCTGGATATTACGCAGAAACTAACGGAGCGTATAGACAACCTGTAGCAAGGAATCGCTGCTTGGGGGAAGCGGATTCGGCGTTACACCGAGAGGTCGAGGCAGTTCAACCAGAATCGTCTCTTCCAGAGTTATCAGAAGAGGCTCTATAAATCATGGAACGACTAATGGTACGTGGAACAAGCCCAGTACTGAATCAGGCCGACACTGTCGCATTCTGGCGTGGCCTGTGGTCAGAGCCTTATGGGCTTACCACAGTAAGTGGCCTTGGACGGAAATTGTGATAAGTCAGTGTGCGAATGTTACGCCCATGGACCCCGTCATCATAACGTCGGAAGATGTAGTTGAGGCGGTCCGTACTGCCCCAAACTGGAAAAGTCTGGGGTTCGACGGGCTGCATCACTACTTGCTAAGGGGTTCGTTGAGTGCCACGCTGTGCTCGCTTGTGAGTTCCCTCAACTGAAATCGCTCCCGAGCCTCTTCACTACTGGGATCTTTCAACTGGTTCCTAAAGACCAGTCTACCACAGACCTGAGCAAATACAGCCCCATCACGGGTGTACCCACAATGTACAAGACATTACCATCTTTTTTGTGCGCGAGAATCACTCGTCACCTGGATTCAAATCAGATGGTGTGGTGCGCTCAAAATGGGTGTCGGGGTGGTGGTCGTGGAACCAAGGAATCACTCCTCGTTGACGCGGTCATTGGCAAGGTGGATAAACGCAACCGTCGGAACCTCTCAGCTGCCTGGATTGACTACAAAAAGGCATTCGAATCGGTGCCTCATACATGGCTAAAAGAGGTCCTCGAGCTGTACAAGGTTGACTGTACAGTTGAAGACTTCCTCGGGCAGTGTATGAGGCAGTGGAGTACGATCCTTTGTCATTTAGGTAAGCGGATGACGGCTGCGGAGAACCATATAAGGATAAGAAGGGGTATTTTCCAGGGCGCTTGTTTGATTGAAATTTGGTTCTGGCTCTCTCTAAACCCTCTTAGTATCTTATTGGAGGTACTGCAATTCTATTACAATGGAGCTGGGAATGGATAAGTGTGCGGTCCTCCATGTCGAAAGGGGTAGGGTTGCTAACGCTGAGGACATACACTATATATCTATGCCTATCAACATAAGGACCCTATCCGAGGCTGAAATATACCGATACCTGGGTATGTCACAGAACATATGTATCGATGAGGCGGATACGAAAAAGTCAGCTTGCGATGTGCTTTTCAGTAAGACACACGCATATAACGGTTGGATCATGCCTGTTCTCATGTACACTTTCGGCATTCTCAGGTGGACTCCGACCGAACTAAACGCTCCGGATCGAAAAGTCCCTACTGTTATGACGTCCAACAGGATGCATCACCTGAGATTATTAGTAATGAACAGCCTCATTACTTACGATCTCAAGTGATGCATCCTGTGGGACCTCATAACAGTGCGGACTTTTCTATCCAGAGCGTTCAGTTCGGTCTTACTGCGGAAACATGGTGGGCGCGGATTTTTAAGCGCTCTCGCTATGCGTAATTGCAATCGCGAATGTTCCATTCTACAAGGACATCATTTTATGTGATAAACGGCTTACTCCTCTATCCTTAGCCAACGAGCAATGGCAAAATTCAGCAGTACGGTACATTTCCGACCGGGAGACGGTACGGAAGGAGAAGGAGCTCCACGGGAGATTCTACAAGGCTCTACATGAGCCTTTTGTAGATACAGTCACCTCCCTCCACTGCTTACGTTTCGGTGACCTCTTTGGGGAAACCGCTGGTTTTGTCTGTGCGATACAGGATCAGGTTATAAAGACCAACAACTATCGGAGATACATCCTAAAGAATGTTGCCGTCGACATCTATCGAGCTTGTCGCTATGTCTGATCCCTGTGAGTTACTTAGGCACGTCATCTCTGGTTGTTCGGCGCTTTCTAACTCTGAGTATTTGCACAGACACAACCTAGTAGCCAGAATTCTTCATCAGAAGCTCGCTTTGAAATACGGTCTCGTGGATCGGAAACTACCTTTTAAAAGTACTTGCTAGAAGCCATATTCGAAAATAACCGTGCCGGGCTCTACTGGGGCCGAGTCATCATCACAGACAGGACTATTCTTGAAAATAAGCCTGCTATTATGCTGATTGTCCGGGCACAGTCAAGAATATTTTGGTGGACATTACCGTTCCTTATGACGAGAATCTCGTGAAAGCCGACACAGATAAGCAGACAAAATATTTGGATCTGGCTCATGAGGTGACCGACATCTGGGGTGGTCTAGGGTCTGGGGTGGACCGAAATTATTCCTGAGGTCGTTTCTACGAACGAGCTAATCTCGGTCAGCCTCTCAGATCATCTAAGGCGACTGGGACTCCGTGACGGACCGCTCTGGGCTCAAATGCAGAAGGCGGTGCTCCTCGATACCGCCTGCATCATCCGCTGATTTTTTCCCTTTCTCCCTAACCCTCGGCCGTTTGGTCTCCCCTGCCGAGGGCTTCCATCTGCTTGGGTTTTTATTTATTTATGTATTTTTATGTATTTATTTTATTTTTTGATATTTATGTATATTTATTATTTTCGTTTATATATTTAACAGCCCAACCATATAAGAATTGAAAAATAAAAGAAAATATAATAATAGATGCAGCATATTTCCTGCACTAACTTTCAGGGGATCATTGTTTTGTGTCCAGTCTTCATTGATTCGCAAAAGCGTTTTCTTTTTTTCTTCAAAAGTCGTTGTTAATAATTTTATACACGATGTTAATACACTTTGATAAGTTTCATATTACGTTTGAACTCAGGTTTTGAACATAATACTTGTGCACATATTTTAAAAGAGATTTAGGAATGGAAGAAGAGCGAGTTGAAAGTCTGGGTGAGAGTGCTCCTTTATTACTCAGATATCCGTGTGGGCTGGTGCCACACTCTTGCCTATTTCTGTTGTCTAGCAGCAGTGACCCACTGCTTTGTTCTGGTTTGACATGTGTCCATGGACTGTAGTAATCACTTATCAGCAGGCGGTGGACTATTATTAGTTTATTACTCAAAAAAATATATGAAAAAGTTAAAAAATACAATTGAATTTGTTATGTATTTTAGATATGATACAGCAAATGAAAAAAGAGCGAGAGCATTTCGAAAAAGAAAAAACTGAAAGTAAAGATATGATCCACATGCTCGAAGTAAGACTGAAGCAAATGACAACGGTAAGAAGATTCAAAGTGATTTTATGGACAAGCGTATATCTTGCCGTGGTAGTTCAGGGATCTCGCTCGCTGTAAATTTTATAAGTACGAGAGCAACCCGGGTTCGATCCCCGCCGGCAACAATGAAATTGATATGTGCTGATTTAACGTGTGCTCGGCGGTGAAGGTAAAAATGGTGAGCAAACCCGCATGTCTGAGAAGTAAAAAAATATATTTCGTAGGCATTTGAAGTCGGCCAACAAGCATTGGGGCAGCGCTGAGGACACTTTCTGATCCTAATACCCTTACAGAAGTAGGCCTGTGCCCAGCAGTGAGACGTATATGAGATGTAACTTTAACTTCTATATACGTACATTTAAAAAAGTGCAATCACATTATAAAATAAAACTAAATTTACGATTTTACCGCACCCATGTAGGGGGGACTGAGATGTTTATTTTCTAGGATATCTAATGTCGTAAGTTGTATAGTAGAAGATCATATGTAATATAACGGGATGAAAGGGGGTCGATTTGTACGACAAATCTGCTTAGAAAAATAGCCTGAAAATCTTAGAGCGTCTTATAAATATTGGAGTAATTATCTCGATCACAAAACCAGACCTGTGTAGCCAGACGAGCAAAGTGGAGTAGCACATAAGATATATGAACGATTTGGTATTTACATGGATAGACGCCCTTTCTTTCTTTTCTTTTTAAAATATATTTTTATATACTTTATACTTGGTAGAGCCACGCTGCAGCTATATTATGGTGTAGCACGAATAGGTCGGCTCGACCGGCAAAGAGCATAGTCTTACAGAATACCACCGTAAAATTGCAGCTTAATGCTGCTGTGTTTCGTACGGTGAATGTAGAGAACCGGAGACCCGTTTTACTGGAATCAAGGCATTCCATCTTAGTCCTCAGGGGTTACAACTCATTTGCATTTTGATTCTCAATCGAGGTTAAATGTAGATGTCTACGGACCGCAGCATTCACTTACCATTAGGTGCACTGTGTGCTCGTTTGTCACCCTTACTCTATAAAAAACAGAAACGTATCCTCAAGTAACTGAAGCATATTGTTTTAATATAAAATTACTTACAAAATTAAAGTTTATAAATAAAGTCCTATGGCCAGTAATGCATTATTTATGTGTGCTGCGATTACTCTGACAAAGGTTGAAAGTGATGATGTAATTAGCAAGATATATATTTAACTATTAGTACGTAGTACTATTATTTATTCTGTGATATTAGTTGAAACATATATATAGCATGAAACATACGGGTACATTTTTTATTATGTAACTTGCTCTAGAATCCTCTCAGAGTCTAGAGGAGGCCTGTGCCTACTATGAAGATACATAAATTGTTACAGATGATTGAAGAAGATTCGGTCTCCTTGAAGCAGAAGAAAATGGAATTCGAATTCGAAAAAGCAACGTTCAGTAAACAAACGGAATTTGCCAAGAATGTTCTTAAGAAGCAAGATGAAGAACTTAAGGTTTGAAATAATCAAATATCTTTGAAATAAATACATAAAATATTTAACTATCTTAATATAAATAAATATTTGTAAATTTATGCAATATTTTGATACAAAATAGGTATATAGTACAGTACATACCTGGTTAAAAACACTAAACTGGTTTAGGTCACTATTTTACAATTAAATCTTTAAGTGGCACATTTCGCAGATGTTCAAAGAGGATATACAAAAAGAATATCAAGAGAAAGTCGCTAAAATTAACGAGGAAAAAGAGAAAGCAATAAAAGACTCTGCTATTATTGCGAAGGAGAAAGCTTCTATATTAAGTATAAAGATGGATCTCGAGGTAAGTTTTTATTCTTCTATAGAACGAAAATGACACGCAAACAAGCAGTCCACCTGATAGTAAATGGATGCTGTGGCCTATAGACATCTACATCTATCCTCGATTAAGAATTAAAATGCAGGTGCGTTATCACCTCTGAAGACTAAGATGGAATGTCTCATTTGCAGGAAAAATTATCTCCGGTTCTCTACACTAAACTTGTGAAACCAGTATTAAGTTGCTATTTCTATTATTGCTATGCAATTTCTTCTTTTATTGAATTTTTATTGAATTGGAGAGCGTGGTCTTTACCTGGTCGAATCGACCCATTTCTGTTACAACCGGTAGCGTAGCTTCTCTTATATTCAACTGATTATTTATGTCGTAAGTTAGTTCGTTAGTTTTCGTGAGGCTTATAAATTGTAATAATAATACAATAGAAGTCGTATAGACGCGTGAACTTGTCGCCGCTGTGATGGGTTGACGAACATCATTCACCACTTCGTGATTTAGTTGCGCGGGGAACGTCGTACGTGAATTTATGTTATTATAAATTTATAATGGTGAAATGCAGCATAATTAGTTGTAAATACTCACCAAGGACGTGTAATTCAACTAATAAAGGCATAACATTTCATCGGTAAGTTGATTATTTACTAATTATCATTGTTTTAACTAATTTAAATCTAGATGATGTTTTAGATATGATATTTACCTTTGTAAACTTTCATTTATTACTTTTCGTATTGTACAATTACCATTGCTGCTTTTGTTCTACCGTAATACGCGACACACGCGACGTTGACAAACTCGCCAAGCAATGTAATGTGAAACATTAAATATCATTGTGCATTGCGTATGTTTATAATACGGGACGTACACCAAGTAAACTAATTCATTTCTATTGTCTTATCATCATTACTATATCTGTGGTAGTTTGATTATACTTAGGATTTGCAGCCAAGAAAGGCCACGAACTGTATAAAAGGGGACCAAGGAATCAAGAATGATGATAACGAATGGTGCGGATGGCTCAGTAGTATGTGCAAATCAGATCTCCGATACGGACCACACATTTGTGATAAAATCTCTACGAAAAGTGAACTAACGTAGTATAAACGACGAGTAGTAATTAGCTTTTGCTACTGTATTAACACTGCCTTCTAATAAAATATCTGTCTGACTGTAAGGATTAAAAAATTAGTACACAACAGTGTTTAGCTACGTTCATTTTGAAATATTTCTATGCAGAAGTAGCTTAACAATGTTTAAATTCATAGGAAATCGTATTGCATTTCGGCACTACCAAAGAATATATATACTACGCGAACTGGTACTACACATAAATATTTGTTAAAGTCAACTTCTTAATAGATTTCCCCATACTTCCCCCATAGATTGAGTTTGCCATAGCTGCCACGCTTGGCAAGCGGGTTGGCAACCACAATTTTTTTAATTTAGCTGTTATCAGGAAGATGCCGCTGCCCATCTCCTGTTTTATTTTCCCTCTGTCACCTCTTACGACAACCACGGGACGATACGGGGTAGTGATATTCTTACACCGCCACTACACGGTTATAAAACATAAAGTCAAACTTTAATGACAAGAAGAGCTTTAATTTAGGAATGTCTTTGTAAAATATATCAATTAAGAATTTCTTACAATTACAAATTGCATTTTCTATCTTTCTTTATTATCCTGCTAATGTCCTCTGCTAGACGTGGGTCTTTTTTCGTTCTTGTTGGAGGGAATGGCCGTAATAATTACTATAATAAGTACAGGATGTCAACGCATCTGTGGGCTTCTTTGTTTGAAGTTGGTTGTATAATATATCCATCCATTTCAAATTCGTTTTTCCTTTCGGTTTTATAAAAATCCAGAATACTTGAAGGATTTCGTTTCGATTAGTTTTTGCCGGTGTTAGACACGTAGACAGCACAGGTTCGATGCCTGTGTGAGTATTAAATTTTTAAAAGAATTGTAAATGAAAATTTCATGTTTGACTGCCACAGGAATTAAAAAATGGAGGGTGTTGTTATATATTTTTGTAAAGCAATTAGCAGCAATCGCAGGTGCAAAGTGGAAGACCAGCGCGTAATTTTTGGGTGACAGACAAAGATGATGATTATGGTGATTTACTTACACTGGTTGACTTTACATTTTTTTTATTAATAAATGATATAATATTTTAAAGAAAACAAAGGCTGAACTGCAAGCCCAACTAGAAGAAATTACTGAGGAGCGGTCAAAATTGAATCTAGAAAAGCAAGAATTATATTTGAAAGAGCAACGGATAATAGCGAAGTAAGTTTGACGATTTATTTTTCATTTTTAACTTACTTAAACTTAGACTAATACTTTAATTAAACACTTTATCTGTCCGCGAAGTAGATACAATAGTTTAACAAGCGAAATATGTAATTCATGGGACAGGGAAAGGGTTAAGATGAGATTTTAAGCAGAAATTTATTACTTCAAATGTAAAAAAAAAACAGATAAAACATTAAACGTAAGTAGGTACGTGACTTTAGAAAATAATTGTTTTAAAGTACACTACCTCCTTTGTAGAAAGTTAGTCCAAGCATTCGTCAGTTCAAGCGTCTAAGAGGTTAAGAGGTAGAGAATATTTTAATGTTGTAAAATAATAATTATTATGTAAAATGAGTTTGAATTCGGTTTTAGGAGTAAAGATGTAGAAATGCTCACTAAAGCAGCCATAGAAAAACAATCTCAAGCTGAAAAGAAGTACGCAGAAGCAGAGAGTCAACAAAGAAAGTACGAAGAGAGAATACGTCGCATACAAGAACATGTAGTATCTTTGAATGCGAGAGAAAAACAGATCGCTAGAGAAAAGATCGTGTTGTCTCGAGAAAGAATCAGACTGCATAATGACTGGAAGCAAATTGAGAGTAGGCAACAATGTTCGTTATGTCGGTCCATGCCAAGAACGCCGCAGTATAATTTAGAAACCACATACCATTCGGAGAATTATGACATGCCCGTGTCTAGAGATTATGGTGAAGCTAATGTGAGCCATGCCTTGAGTGCAATAGAGCAGGAAATGGCTCATCTTATGGGTAGGACGTTTAGTTTGAAACACGACAGTGGGTTGGTTAATTTAACCAGACAAGATGTAAGACATTCAAATGATGTAGAAGATGAAGGTGAACATTTGGAATCGACAGAAACTGGAACTTTTAAGGTTAGTTGTATTAATAATAACAAGGTACAGCAGTGCAATGCCTCCAACTTCATAACTCCGGGCTGCCGTCCCCGCGCAACTTCCGCGCAGGGGTTGGGTTTACAATTCGGTCGCCTGAATTTGAAGATTCTGTCATTGTGGGGGCGGGTCAAGGGGGTTTATCTGAAGCACCCCCACACGATTTTTGCTGCCGGAGCAGGATTGGTGAATGACTAATTAATTAAATATTCTCTCGTTTTTGACGTTTCATCTGTCAATGTCATATCGATATATAGTACTGAATCGATGTAGTGAATCGGTATTTCACCCTAGAGAATCGGGATTGAATCTTTTTATGTTTTATCAAAATTTATAAAATTATTTACAATTAGTTGAATGTACCCCAATTCGTAACGAATGACAGTTTTTTAATTCAATCATTCAATGTTATCTGTACTTTATTGTATCTTTTGATAATTATAAACTTTTAACGCAAATAAAAAAGATCGATTTTTGCGAAATCGATCTTTAAGATTTCGATTCGAATCGATTTAAAATGTGTAAAATTAATTGCTAGGCCGGCCATTTTGTTGACAGCTTTTCGTCATGCCTATGGAGTGTAGAAGTAAGGAGTTAAATAAGAGTGGTACCACTATAGCTACGGGCTAAATTTTAAAGAACGTGCCGAAAAATGTTAGTGGGATAGACGACTTTTTTGAGGTAATATTTACTAAATAAAATTATTTTAGATTTTAGAGCTACTGAGCAGTTTAGCAACACACTTCAAACCGTCGACAACTGCTAAGTTCATTTTATCCCAGTAGCTACTCCAGCGCTGTTGTGGAGAGTTTTTGACAGTTTTTGAACTGTTATTTACTGCTTACAGATGGCCACTTTTTCAACTATTCTACTATGGGAGTTGGTGCTCCTTACTTCTACACTCTATAGTCATGCTGTTGGTTCCGAGTTTCGGAATTTTGGTGAATAGTGGAATATTTGTGGCGGCGGAATACTGCTAAATATCGCAAAGATCCTTTCTTACAAATGGTGGCAGCCATAAATTATGTTTATAAATTAAATTAGTTATAAAAGTTAATATTTTGGTGGTTATTTTTTTGTAAACCACTCAGAAGTAGGAGCCCCGCTAAGCGGGGCTCCGTCGACCAGGCTTCCCTCGACTGCACCACGTTAAGTGACGTGGGGCTTCCGTCCCCCAACTCTCTCTCCCCATACGAGTAAATCAGGTTAAAATCGTTATAAAAATTACGAAACATAACCTCAAAATGAGGTTTTTAAAAATTTATAAAAAATAACTAAGCACGTCCGGCAGGAAGGGGAACTAGGGGGTGACTACAACTCCTCCTCTCCCCCCACACCACCCCCACCCCCTAATTAAGGCGACCGAATTGTAAACCTTACCCGCTGTGTTATACTTTGTTAATTAGGGGTCGAATCGACCGGGAAAGGAACCCACTTGCACAGAATAGCAGTGTAAAATAACAACATAATGCTGCTGTGTTCCTTATGGTGAATTACGGTAACCGGTGATGCTTTTCTACTGATAAAAAGCCATTCCATCTTAGTCCTCAGAGGTTAAGACGCATCTGTTATTTTTAATTTTTAATCGGGGATAGAAATGTTCGTGTTCCTAGATCACAGTTTCCTTCTATATAAAAAATACCCCGGGTGTGAGAGTTGGCACTGTCTTTGCTTTTTATTGCAAGAGTTAGAGCTTTTACTTAAACCTATGTAATTGGTGTGTCATGAAATGGATATTATAGCTTTTTTCCTGGCGCCATTTTTAAGGTTTCATTCTTCTGCATCTTTCTACTTGATCAGAAAAAATTGACTATTAAAGGGGTTACATAATAATAAGTCCCTAAAATTCTATGATCCTCCATTTCAAATGAATCTTTTCACCGTGTGCAGTGAGGTGGGGTAAAAATTACTCAGTTGATTTTTTTAAAATTGAAATTCATTGTTTGACTTTTTTGGTCGTGTTCCCAATATTGTTTGCAGTAGTACCTGTGTAGAGCAATTTTAAGTAACGATTAAATATAATTGCATAGTTAAAAATATAGTTCTTCACATGTTATTAATTAAATCGTGCTATTTGCTAAGCTATTGAATTACTGTGTCACGAAGTAGGTATCACTGGTTCGAATCCCGACTAGATATACTTACCATAATTACATCGGAGCCGGATGTGTACTGATTGTGTTCGTATTTGGCCTCCGAGCATGCCTCGTTAAGTTTGGGATGAGTAGGCGGTCCCTGAATAAGTGCCAGCCTTTCCGTAGCGGCTATGTATGAGTAAGGCCATGTGACTGGAATTCCAAACAAAATTTTCAGCAAGTCCATATAAAATCAAAACGTCACAAACCTACGGTAGTTTTCCGTTCGAAATTTTGCATGCAAAAAGGGATTCCGTATATGTGTTGCCCATTGCGTGACCCATTCGTTTCAGAATTTCGAAACGGAATTCCGTATATATATTCAGTGAAAGTAAAGCCGTAGGGGGAAAGGATTGTTAGTATGACCATGCGCTATTCTCTCTACCTCTTAGATCTGGCGCTGAGGCCGAGATTGTAGTTCTTCGGGGTCATGCATGAGATTGATAGAAATACCTATTCTATATATATAGTCATACTTGCGTCGGCGGCGGCCGAGTTGCAAATAATGGTTATATTAATGAACAGATCATTAAAAGAAAGGGGAATGAAAGTGAACGCAAGTAAGACGAAAGTGATGGTTTTTGAAAGAGAAGAAAGCAAAACGGTATGTGAAATAAGAATAGAAGGAGAGTTAATTGAGCAAGTGGATGAGTTCGTATATTTGGGATGTGTATTCAGCAGGGACGGGAGATATGATAAGGATATTGAACGACGAGTACAGTAATGCAGGAAATAAAGTAAATGGGGCTCTACACTATTGTGAAAAGTCAGAATGTGTCAAAAAAGGCACGTATGGCAATTCACAATGCTGTATTAGTCCCTACTTTAACATATAACATGGTAGTGAAAGTTGGGTGTGGCAGAAGAAGCACGAGAGTAGAATAAATGCAGTAGAAATGCGGTCGCTAAGGAGTATGTTAGGGCTGAATCTGATTGACAGGGTCAGAAACTGTGTGATAAAAGAAGAGTGTGGTTTGCAAGATGATGCGGTGACCAGGATTAAGAAAGGAATGCTTCGGTGGTTTGGTCATGTAGAAAGAATGAATGCGGAAAGACTGACAAAGCAAATATATGTTGCAGAAGTGAATGGAAGAGTCGGAAAGGGACGTCCTAGGCGGAAGTTTGTCGACCAAATTGGCGATATACTAAAAGTGGGCCAAATTAAGTGTACCCTTAACCGACAAGCATGTATGCGTAGGTATATGGATGTGGAAGAGGCGAGAGAGGTATGTCAGGATCGTGCTAAATGGAAGTCTGTAGTCTCTGCCTACCCCTCTGGGTGACAGGCGTGAGTGTTTATGTTTATGTATATATTATATGCATAAATGTGAATTATTTATTCTTAAAACTAGTGTATTATCTTTTCGAGTATTAAGTTTAATTTTTATTTTCTAAAGGCAACATTAATATTGACTATCAATAACATTGAAATGATGTTTTGATGTTTCTCGCTCGGCAAACATTTTCAAATGGAAACTTCTTTAGATTCGTTGTGTAGAACATCTATAGAGGAAATGTTACAGTGTTTCCTATTACGTCGGTCTCCACTTTGTGCGATGCTTTAAAGATATATAAAATTATCATACCCAATCCATTCATAACAATTCACAATTTCATAGCTTTTCTATTTGTATTAAATTAGTCGTTTATGCCATCTAGCGTCTATTTGACGTACCACCTAATGAAATAGATGGCGCATTATAAAGTAATTTTACTCGCATTTTTCTGAAGATTTCTGTTTTACTTCTTTCTACCATATGTGCACACATGTTTTTTTAGTATTACGTGTGTTTTCTTTTAACTGCTTACTGTGTTCCATGAATGTTTTATAATGTTATAGACATCACTCAGAAATTTTCATTTCTTTAATAATTTCGCGTCCTTTAATCTCGTTTAAGTTGTAAATCGTGAGGGTTTTGGTATTTGCTAATTCCAAGCTCAATAAATTCTAAGTTCCCCACGAAGTGGATTTATGCCTGAAGTGTTTGTTACACTATGGAGAAAGAATAAGGGACGAATAAGTGCTTGTATTTACGAGCATATATTTGGCATTTGGTGTTGTAATTAACTTGGCAATAACTTCAACCGACAGGGATTACATAGTCCCCGTTTATAGTACCTACTTAAATAAATTATTGCTACATTGGTGACGGCATTAGAGTATTTATCGCCGAAATTAAGAGGTAACTTTGGAAAATGATAGAATATTTTATGGCTTCAGATAGATGGCGGTATCATCATCTCGTTTACGTCAGAAGCACAGGTCAGACGTAACTAATGTTACGAGCTTGAGGTTCGTGACAGTAAAAACTGCCGATTGAATTACCAAAATTTACACTTTTATTACCGAACACAAATTAAAACTTAAAAGACACTAATAATTAATCACACTGATTCACTTTATTTCGCTCCGAAGCTTCGCTTGTCTCGCCAAATTCAATACTGCCCCGATCGCGTCTTGCAGCGCCTTTAAATACACCTTTTTCACCGAAACATCCAGAATATTCAAGTAAATACGCGCGCCAACCAACCAGGCGCAGAAAGTTCGAGTTTCTAGATTCTTCTGTTCGATACTAGATGGCGCTGTTGGTCAAAAGTCAAGATTGACATTTTCTAGGAAGCCCTCCTCGCTCTGGTCCCACTAGATGGCGCTAGTGTCAGGTACCTGACGTCAACTTAGACCCGTTACACTAATATAGGCAATCTGATGAAATTTGAATTCCGCCTGCTTAGCGTTACAAATAAAGAAACTCCTCAATACAAAGGGAGAGGCTGGTGTATGGCAGTGGTCGTTTAGGTGCCGATAAAGAAAACAGATGATGAAGAAATCATTACAAGTCTATACTAAATTAAAACAAAATTTTCTATTTTCAGGACTACATGGATCCAAAATTCATGATGTTACGACTCGATGTTCAAAAAGTAATCAATAAAATAGAAGGGAAAGGAGGCTCAGTGGATGAGAAATAATTTTGTATGATACTGAACATGTAATAAAAGACTGAATAAAAGTATTAGAGTTCCTTCATTTAATTTTCATTCCATGACTGTTACAGCGGATTAATATGCATTATTTTATACAAAGTGCATCGCGCTACTAAAGTTTACGCAAATGCATTGAAAGTTACATGCTATCTTACTCCATAAATACCTAAACGTAAAAAATATAGGTACACAATCTCTCTTATGATATTACTAGTTAAAATATTTTGATAGTACTAATATTTCTAGTATTTAATATCCGATTTTTCTTCGGAATATGTGATCATATGTTATAATGGCTTGGTATAAATTATTAATTTACATTTTTATAATAATCTAATAGCGATCTATCTAAACTTCTAAACGTTCTTCATCCATACGATGCACACCCAGTCTTTCATTAAAAATTAAGTAGCGCTAAAGTTTATGGACGGCATGGCCTATTTATTTATAATTTTCTACGCTTCAGATCTTGTTTATAGTTTGTTAGCTATAAGATGAAATTGTATATACGATGTTTATTATAGGTTCACTAGCGGCGGGGTATTTTTTCGCAATCTGATGGCGCTCCTCTAGTTTTGTAAAAGTAAATTTAAAAAAAAAAGGTCATAATATATTTGAATCACAAAAACAAAACAAAAATTTTAATTTCATATTTATAGATAGTATAATGTAATGCCCATCAATTTTGGAATTAACTCTTTAAATTTTGTTGGCGAGGCTTAACGTAAATTCACCAGAATACAGCCTGCAGGTTTAGTTTAGGACTCTACAGCCGTTAACGCTAATACAAAACTAAAAAAATATAGTAACATATCTTAACGTTAACCAGATGTCATGTGACCACATTGAATTTATTCATTTTATTATAATCTATTATCGATTGTAGAAAGACAACTTGGCTAACCTCGCTGGTATTAGAAACAGAAATGACACAGGTTTTGAGTCGAACAATTTTAACCCTTGCCTTGCCCCGTGACCCACTGATGGGTCATTGCTATTGTCTTACTATTGTGTCTGCAAATTGAACAGTGGAAGTATTACTAGGTTGGTTCACAAGGCCGTAGCCTTTTTCGTAAGACTGGACTGAAGAATACACTAACCAAACAGATAAAAAACATAATAAACACTTGGTGTTTTATGTTGTATACAATTTCACCTAACAGATATTCATAACAATACAAGCCCTAAATATTGCCCAATATTTTTAATTACACCACCTTTGAGATAATAAGTATAACAACTTTACATATGTCGCCGCAAGCTTAATTGTCTTTTATGTTAACAGCTTAGCCTTTTTACTAAACGCCGCCGTTGAACTAGCGGCCTTAATAAATCAGTCTTGTTGAACGAAACGAATAAGGTGATCATGCCATGTAATGCATGCTGGTCTGTGACTAGCTATGCCCTATGTGTTGTATTATATAAATGTACGCGGCTTTAGGGTAGCCCAAGGGTCACCCCAGCCGCATCTTCACCTACCTGCCGCAAGATAGGTGCAATGTTGTATTAGACACATCGGCTGAATATCATTCGGGCCGCTAGTTGCACGGCGTCGTTTTGTAAAATGGCTAGGTCTTTAACTGAAAGGCTAGTTGGTTGTGACATATATATCATGTGTAATTACTAATTAGTTACACAACACAATATTTACATTTGTATCTACTTATGTTATAAGAGCTAATTCCTATACTCTGGATGAGCAGGCACTGAAGGAATTATTCGTAGACATATTTAATATAATAATATTTTCGTTCTATACAATTTGCCGTATATAAAGTTGCTATGTTTTACATCAATTTACATTCAATAACTGTCTTATTTATTTATAATTTATAGTATTTCAAATCAAATGAAATACGTTAAAGTATAATTAACATTTTAATAAATTTTGTATTGGAATAAATTGAAATTTATCTTAAATTAAGATTCGAGACAAATCCCGCGATAAGAATATATTTTTATAACTTTATCACAGTAATAACATTAGGTCTATCGAATATTAAAATTTTTAAATGAAAATATCTTTCAAAAATAAAAGTGAATGTTAAGAAATATATTCCTACATGCAAACATATATTATAAATACTTATGTGTTATGATTTTTCTTCGGGCTTAGGATATTTGACTTCGAGCAGCTGTGGGTAGTTCTCTACTATCGCTAGTAGGATGCCGTCGATGTACGTCCTCAGTTGAACATTCACGTCCTGTTGTTCTTTTAAAGCTTTTTGTAACTGTAAAAAAGTTGAATTATATCAGGCATTGATAAATATTTTTAAATTATTATTTACACATATATTTATTATGTAGGAATTTATACTGTATACAAGTGATATTTTTAATTTTGTAATAAAGATTTAATACATCACGGTCTTCACAATGTTAACCGATTCTGAGCTATGTCAAAAGTTCAAGTCTCCAGCTCATCGGAAAATGATCGAAATTTGAGTTGCAAGCTTCGACACGACACGACGAACCACAGACAAAAAAGAAAGGAACTTAACAAAATGGTGGTAAAAATGCATAAACAAGATTGTAAATCACATAACGAATTAACGGAAAATTAGTTCAATTATTATTTAAAATAGAAACTCAAAACCATATTGTTCAGTACAATTGATGTGAAAAATTAGTGTGTATGTATTAAAAGTACCAGAGCATAATTTCAAGGTTATTAAAAACTGTACTAAAATTTTCTGTATTTTAATACTAAAAAAGAGGAGGAATAGAGTTTCATAGGTTTAAAAACATATAATAATGCTCGCTATTTTTATTTCATGTCGTTAGTCATAAAAAGACATTTAAACATGGAAAACAATATCATGCAATTGATTACGACATATGTTAGGTAATAAATGATTGTAGATTTCTTGTATTTACAGGAGTAGTAAAATTCTTTTTAATTTTACACGTTGCATAAAACAAATATCTACGAATTTTATTGCGTTTATTTAAACTTATTTAAAATCACCATGAGTGTTGTAAATCACTCGACATATCGAGAATTTAGAATATGTTAAAATTAACGCGATGTATCCGTAAAAAAATGATTTAAGTATATAAAATTAATTTTGATTCTACATAATAAAATTCATAATATGAATACGGATTGTGAAGTTAAATGTGCCGGAAAATATTGATTGAAATAGAAATAGGTGTAAATAATAATGGCCTGGTGCAATGGTAAAATTATAAAACGAATGGAATAGTGTGTTTGATTTAAAAGCAAGAGGACATAGAGTATGAAAAAGGTACAGTGGCATTTTCAGTCAGAAGATGGAACTAAAGTCTGTTTCTAGAGCAAGCGGAAAAACGGGAAAAGATACTAAGTATTATGTTAGCGTAAAAGGAAAACAATACATCTCTCTCTCTCCATACATTTCTTTATCGCTTACGGTTGTTACCGCATTTTTTTGTACAAGGTGGGGTGAGAGACGCAGTCGTTCAGAGATAACAAACCTGGTTCGACATGAATATTTTATGTATAGTGTTGAGAATGCATTCAGAAAGAATTGTGTACATTTATTAGCTGTAAATTTTTTTATAGAAAAAGGGTGACAAACTACCACACAGCTCACCTGATGGTAAGCGAATACTGTGGCCCTTAGACATCTACATTAATTTACCCTCGGTTAAGACTCAAAACACAGATGCGTTGTCACCACTCCTGAGGACTAAGATGGGATGCCTCGTTTCCAGTAAAAAGGGTTCTCCTGTTTTCTATACTCACCATACGAAACACAGCAGCATTGAACTGCTATTTTACGCTGGGATCATGTGAGAGCGTGGTACATCCCCGATCAAGTCGACCCATTCGTGCTACACCCATAATATAGCTCTACCACGTAAATTAAAAAATATAAAATAATCTTTAATGATCAGGAGACCATTAAAGATTTTAATACAAAGTTAGAAACGGCCAATCTGATACTTATAGATATTTTCTGGGAATCTTCATAATATTATTAATAATAATAGTAGATATAGATTATAAAATAATTGTAAAAATGTAGTATAGACAAATATGAAACAAGAGATGAAATAAAACTATATTTACGGATTTTATCGCGTTTAATCAACTATTTTAACTTAGTTTTTAATGCCCGATGTTTCGGGTGCTTTACAGCACTCATGTTTAGCGGGGAGCGGGGGGGGGGGGGGGGGTACTGTCGGGACTGAAACATCGGGAAATAAAAACTAAGTTAAAATAGTTGATTAAACGCGATAAAATCCGTAAATATAGATTTATTTAATATGTAGTGTTCGAGTATATTTAAGAAATCATTACACAGATGAAAATTGAAGTGGGAAAAATGCCAAAAAATTGGTTATCTCTATGGTATGCTTAAAGGACGTTGTCTGTTTTCTCACCTGCTTTAGAAACAGACAATAGCATGCATTAAGGGTTGGTATAGAGCGAGACATGCACAGTTAGTTGTAATATGCGTACCTTTTCCATCTCTATGCTGAGATCAGTTTGCGTGCTACCATCGGGCTGCAAAAACGCATATATAAAAATATATAACTTCGTTGTAAATAAGTTTTCATCAAATTATCAAGCTAAGCGTCATTGAATGAGTTCATGGTTATTTTGAGCAGCTGAAGACTCCGTTGAAAACGCCAATGAAGCCTAAAATGTTATGGTGACAATAACAACTAAGCAGTGTGATTTTCCTATTTGAAAAAAAAATGTTTGATTTTCGTTAAATTAAAAATGCGAACAGTATATTAAAATGTGAGCGCAAAACTTTTTCGTATAGACCTTAAAACATAGCTTTGCTTTTATTGCTTCATTGCTTCTAAGACATTTTTATTTAGGCAATCTGTAGTAGGGGCCGCTTTTCAACAGTGGACTTGAGATGGGCTATAATTATAATGATTAAATTTAAAACATTTATTTTCAAACCAATTAAAATTCGCATTATTAAATAAATCATTTATTTTAATATAGGATTTTGATCAACAACTTATCAACGGCGCAGGGAAACTAACAAGGAGGCACTTATTTTCAGCGGCGTAGCATGGGATGCTCACAAACAAGGTCGCTGGAGACATAAATGATACTCTTTTCATTTCCCTCTCATTTTCGGAAGTATCCTTATTATTGTTACGAGCTTGAGATTCGTGACAATAAAAATTGCCGATAAAATTACCTAAATTAACACTTTAATTTTCTTTACACAAATTAAAACTTAAAACACTAATAATTAATCACACTAATTCACTTTATTTCGCTCCGAAGCTTCGCTTGTCTCGCCTAATTCAATACTTCCCCGATCGCATCTTGCAGCGCCTATAAATATAAATTAGCAGCGAAATATCCAGAATATTCAAGTAAACACGCACAAGCTACCGAGAGTTCGAGTTTCAACTTCAAGAAGTTTAGTTCTTCGGTTCGAGACTAGATGGCGCTAGTGCCGTCAACTTAAGCGCGTAACATTATCTTTAAAATACCAGTACGGCAAAAGTCCGAAAATCAATCAAAAATGACGTTGACTGTTGATACGGAGCAGTATTACCACCTCAACATTTATAACAACAACCCACCTGTTTGTTTTAGTCAAAGAAATTTAATTACGTAGTAGTTTAGTATATTTTTTCAATTTCAATTTTTAGTAGTCGGTTACTTGTGGGTTTTGACTGCTCGTCAGCTTAGTGGCTTACCATTTGTGTTGTTGTTTGTGAGTAAAATTAATTCCATGTGTGGGTCACACGTTAACGACTCGTCGTCATTTATGATTCATATCATTTGTGATTGATTTGTTCGAATACTGCAGGGTGCAAGTATGTGTATGGCCTACAAATTGTTTAGCGGCTAGTTGTTATCCTAGTGCAATATCTTTAGATATATAAAACAATTCCACTACACAGGAGAATTTTTAATCTAGTAGGGGTAACGTTTTTTAAATAAAATATAATTGCACGTGACGTGTGTGAGGTGTGTGCGGCGAGTAAGGTGTGTGCGGCGAGTGCGGTGTGTGCGGCGAGTGCGGTGTGTGCGGCGAGTGCGGTGTGTGCGGCGAGTGCGGTGTGTCCAATTGTGTGCGGCGAGTGCTGTGTGCGGCGATCGGTGTGTGCGGCGAGTGCGGTGTGTGCGGTGAGTGCGGTGTGTGCGACGAGTGCTGTGCGTGCGCCTGCGTACCTCGTGGTCGGACATGTGCGAGAGCTCGTGCGCGAGCGAGTGCGCCAGCAGCGGCCCGCTGACGTCGAGCAGGCTGCGGCCCTGCTCCACGCCGCGCGTCAGGATCTGCGCCTGCAGCTCCTCTTGCGCCTCCGAGAGCGCTGTTGGCGAGTTGAAGCAAAGATTTAAATAGTTAGATACGCCTCCACCTTGAAACCTGTGGCACTTTTGGATGTGTTCGTTTGCAAGGCACTGACGCAAGCACACTAATGCAATAGTGTCATCTCTCATTATCTTATAGAAATTGTGTGTACTACTTTCTCTGTCGCACTCATTTGAGAATGGACACATTTCGGAGTGGTCATACTATGGTAACGGCGCATCTAACTATTTTAAATCTTTGAGTTAAAGCGACTTGTTGCCCAAGTACTCAAACGCCACCCAATTTTAGGATGTCGTTAAGTTTCGTGCTGTCCCTATCACTTTAAGTCAGCGGCTGTAGCACCACGAGACTTGACATCTTAAAATTGAGTAGCATTTGAGTATTTGCTCATGAATAATTATGGTTAGTGGCAAGTATCATGAACATGAAGTGACGGTGACGTAATCTATACAGAAACCCCTATGAGTATATTTCCCTGATCCTGCTCATATGAGGTAGGTAAAATACCATGCAGTTTAGTTTGAGGATCCCCACATAATCTATCCTTGCCCCCGCAATAGTGGATATGATCAAAAATGTAGCAAATCTTGTTCAGGTTTGAAGTGCTTTGTTTCGGTAGGAAATACGACATGGAAAAAAGTCGCATGAAGCTCGGTGAAATATTTTTTTTCGTTTAAAAAACGTTCGTGAAATATTAAGAATTCAAGAAGTGCCATTATACATTTTTGTCCTCGTCACCGTTAAAGAGGTACAACAGTAGATAGCTAGGAATCGTGCCATGATGAGTATCCAATGAACGTTCCTACCGCGCCCGATTGCTTCTCGGGTTTATCGAGGCACTGGTGGAGTGGTAAAAAGTATAGCGATGTATACCTATACGGAAAAACAGAGTAACGCGCACTCCTAGAGGATTTGTTTAGGCGCAAAGTTGTCAACATTTGTTCTGCGCGTGCGGTATGCGAGATTTATAATTGTTCTGCTAGCTCCTCACCCAGATCGGACGATTACATGACACTGACACAGTAAAAAATAAGAAAAGGCACATATAGTTTTTGCCACCCAACAATACTAAGTGGTTCACTGACCCTGGACATTACGTTATAGCTAAATTTTGAAAACGATACGTTACGTTACGTTAACGTTACGAACGATACAAAATAATTACTGTAGTGCAGGGACCCGAGTACGTGACTACGCGGTAAAGGTCATTTCAGAGATTACAAACCTTTTTACAACATTTCATTCAACTCTAACTTACATATATTTGTTTTATTTAACATGACGAACATTACTGCCAGTTACGTTAAAAATATCAGGAAAGTACACAGTCAAAGATACTGTTTTTTCTTAGAACAGTGACATTTTATGAAGTTTATCTGAAAAATTTAACCCTTTTTGGAATGGCATATGAAATGGCAAAACTAACCTTGTTTAGATATTGTCTCATTTTTATTTTTAAATAGTAGTTTTAGTGAGTAGTAGTAGCGCGAGCTCTTCGGGTAGTACGGATGGTTGACGGTTTTACAGTAAGAAAATGAAGGGACGTCCGTCCTTTTTTTATTTTTTATAAGCCAGTGCCTCACTACAATCTCACCTGGTGGTAACCGATGATGCAGCTTTAGATGGTCACTGCCTTGGAGTAACAAATGCCTATTCACTCTTGCCTTGAAGACGCCCAGATTGTATTCTGCGTACACAGTAACGCGAGATCATCGCGTTGTACGGACAATTGACAATGGCACAGTAAAAAAAGTTAAATTGATGCACTTTTGTACTGCGTGCGCAGCAGCGCCAGCTCTGTAATTATTCGACACTGGCATAGTTAAAAAAAATCGAGGTGTGGCTTTGCCGTGGACATGGCCGTGTGTTTTACGTGAATACGTGTACGTAACGAAACGACTTAAGATCGTGCGCATTGTATCATAGTCTTCACTAATAGTAAAGAATTCTTTTATTCTTTAGCCATTGATTGTTGTATTTAAATTTTAGATGGAGATGATAGATGTCTAGCTGCAACACCAAACTGTATCTTCCGATTTTGTTAACATCAGTTTTCTTGATTGCCTCCAGTTATGGAAACAAGTTTAAATCAAAGATTTAAATAGTTAGATGCGCCTTCACCTTGAAAAACTGTTGCATTATTTTTGAATGTGTGTGTTTGCAAGACGCGGACGCGCACACACTAATGCAATAGTGTCATCTCTTATTATCTTACGGAAATTATGTATACTACATTCTCCGTCTACCACGGTATTTCCGTCTCTTTATGTCCATTTATAGATGATCCTTTTGTAAACAGCTTCCTTGTTACATCCGAGTATCTAACTAAATTGGTTTTTTTTTATAGAAGAGGGGGCAAACGAGCATGCGGCTCACCTGATGTTAAATGACTACCGCAGCCCATGAACAACCGCAACACCAGGGGAATTGCAGGTGCGTTGCCGGCCCTTTAGAAAGGAGTAAGCTCTTTTCATGAAGGTCCCCTGGTCTTATCGGTCCGGAAAAATCGCCGGTGGTAAATTATTCCACAGAGAGATCGTCCGGGGAAGAAAACTTCTAGTGAAACGTACAGTGGTGGACCGCCAAGCATCCAGATGGTGTGGATGGTGTCGGGAGGTTTGCTGCGTAGTGCATTCATGAAATTTGACAGCTGGGATTAATCCGAACAATTCCTCAGAGCACTCTCCGTGATAGATGCGATAAAATACGCAAAGAGATGTAACATCAACCCAATAGGAAAGCACTCGGTCGTCGATGATTCGAGCCGCTCTGCGCTAGATGCGGTCAAGTGGAAGGAGCTAGTACTGGGCAGCCCCAGCCCAGAGATGGGAATAGTATTTCATGTGCGGCCGAACCTGCGACTTGTAAAGTTGCAGGCAGTGTGCCGGCATGAAATACCGTCCTGCTCTGCTGAGCACGCCAAGCTTTTTAGAGGCCAATTTGTCCTCTTGACCACGAAACTGCACGTCACTCGATATGTCGACGCCGAATATTCCGATACTGGCTGAGGCAAAAAGGGGAGTGCCTTGAAACTGAGGAGATACGGCAAAGGGGTTCTTTTTAGCGGTTAACGCGTAAACTTGTGCCTTCTGAGGATTAAAGTGGACTAGATTTAGTCGCCCCCAATCCGAGACTTTGTTCAGCAAAGACTCGACTTCAGACACAAGTTTGTCCTGGTACTCGGAGACGTTTTCCCGAGAAATTTTGGCATGCCCGGTGTACAGAGCATCACCAGTGCTGTCATCCGCATAGCAATGAATGCTACAGGTTTGCAACATATCATTGATATGCAGAAGAAACAGCGTTGGTGATAGCACGCAGCCTTGTGGAACACTAGCATTAATAGGCTTGTAATCGGAGCATGCACCGTCTACAACGACCTTGATGCTCCGATCTGCAAGAAAGCTGGTGATCCAATTGCACTATTTCTCGGGAAGCACATAGGAAGGGAGCTTCGAAAGAAGCGCTTTGTGCCAAACCCGATCGAAGGCCTTCGCAATGTCCAAACTAACGGCCAATGCTTCCCCCTTGGACTCTACCGCCGCCGGCCATCTATGAGTCAGGTAGACCAGAAGATCACCACTGAGAAAATAGTGTCATCTCTTGTTATCTTACGAAAATTGTGTATACTACTATCTCTGTTGCAAAGTTTCCGTTTGCCCGTAATTATTTCGTGGTATTTTATAACATCGGAATAAATTCAATATTTAATAAAATATAGATACTTACGAGTGAAATGTTACACCTTGAGCTTTATTGTTGTTAATAGAGTTTTTTTTTTTGGTGAAATTAGCGCGTTAATTCCTATGTGCAACATCTGGGTGTCACTGCGCACCAACAAATGAGCACTGATTGCGAATGAGTGACCTCACTCATTTAGTGGTAACACTATGGTAAGGGCGCATCTAACTATTTAAATCTTTGGTTAAAATATGTATTCACGTCAAAAGGAAAGGAGACGTATATCTGTTCTGCGTGCACAGTAGCGCGAGATCTTTGGGTAGTACAGACGGTTGATAATGGTACAGTAGATAAGTGAAGACGGTTACATTTGTTCTGCGTGCGCAGCAGCGCGAGCTCCTCGCGCAGCTCGTCGAGGCGCGGGTCGGGTGGCGGGGAGGGCGGGGCGAGGCGCGCGGCACGCAACTCGCGCTCGGCGGCCGCCAGCTGTGCGCGCAGGCCGGCGGCGGACGCGCGCTCGCGCCGCTCGGCGTCGCGCGCCGCGCTCAGCGCCGCGCCCAGCTCGCCCACCGCCTCCTGCGCCTCGCGCTGCGCACGCGTCGCCGCCTCCGCGCTCGCGCGCAGCGTCTCAGCCACGCCGCGCAACCGCCCCACCTTCGTTCACATATTGTATACAAAAACTGTGACAAAGGAGTACACAGCTTGCGCCCTCCTTTCTCCCAAGGAGAGTCGCGTCCGTTTACGGCTTAAAGATCTCTCGTCAGATCGTTAAGCTAATCCCAAATGGTGGTGTTTAGTGGGCAAAAGTCTCCACATAACCACGCAGCCGGCTGCGTGGTATGCTATGAGCATTCACCACCTCCATCCCCCATTACCGGAGGGTTGCCCTTAATTGATTCGGGTGCAAAAGAAGTAAACAGTCTACCTGATGATAAGTGGTTGCTGAGGCCCATAGACATCTACATCTATCCACGGATACAAACTAAAATGCAGATGCGTTGTCACCCGTGAGAACTAAGATAGAATGGGTGCGTTTGGCAGAAAAAAGCGCTAGGAAGCGCTTACAAGCGCTGAAATAGTTTTCGGCCAGGACACGATTACTACTTCAGTAGCGCTGACACAATCCGCCATTTTGTTTATTTAATTTGTTTGCTTTGAAGTAGAGTTTTTAAGTTGTTTTGTGCAATATTAGTTTTAAGTAATATAATAACGTGAATAAACACATACATGTTATTAAAAATTAATGATTGGTAAGTTTTTAATATGAATACTTTACAAACATATATTTAAATTAGGTTAGGTTCCCCGGTTAAAACTAACATTGTGTCCTGGAAGAAAATAGCTACTTACGATTTGACAGCGCTTACCGCTTACGATCGCCATTTTGCTTACAAGCGCTTGCTAGCGCTTTTTTCTGCCAAACGCACCCAATGCCTCTTTTTCAGTTAAAAGGTTTGCTGGTTCTCTACACTCATCATGCGCAACACAGTAGCGTTAGGCTGCTATTATATAATTACGTTGGTATTCTGTGGCAGCGTAGTCCCTCCCCGGTTGAGCTAACCAATTCGTGCTATAACTATATCACTATTATAGCTGCACTATGGCTCTATCACGTAAAAATTATTCAAATAGTATTACTTGAATAATTAATTGACGACCCCGTGGCGCAGTGGCTTAGCAATGAGTGGCTGCGCTGGGGGTCGCGGGTTCGAATTCCGCACGGAACAAGTATTTGTATGGCCTACAAATAATTCTTCGGGTCTGGATGTTTGTCCTTGTGCAATTTATGTTTGTAAACTGCCCCCACGATACAGGAGAAAATCCTAGTGTAACGTTTTTAAAAAAAAAAGAAAAAAATTATATATATGTATATACTATGTACTAGAACAGACACCGTGAACAAAATATACACAGCAGTGCGGGGCGCATGGTCGGACGCTCGGAGTACCTTTTTATGGCACAGACTAAATAAGTTTGAGCTTATAAATTCTAACGCGTGTCGCCAAGAGCAAAGTCTATGCGTCTCTTCAAGTATGTGGTACACATCAAACGTAGTCAGTATAATCTCTTTGGTATATATATTGCTTCAATGTATATAGCCATGCTTTAGCCACATGAGTAGACAAGTGCTTCAGCTGTATACTTGTAACACGAATAAGGGGTTATAACCTCCCACTCACCAAATGTAAGCGACGTTGGGAAGTTATAATCTCTAACTGATAAGTTGCGTTTTAAATAAGAAATATCAATTTCTAAAGTGTGTAAATACACAAAACAATGCCTCAGTGCTTGGGTTTTTAATATTATTAACACATTTTAATCACTTTTTAGTTTGTCTACTTTTATGGATATCCATATTCGATAGTAAAGTTTATTCATTTCTTATCCAATTAATATAAAATATAACTATTATTTAAAAAAGAAACATTAACCTTTACTTTTTCTTAACAGATTCGCTATATTATGTTTTGCCCTTCGCTATATTATGTTTTGTTTGTAAAAGTTATTTTCTGTTTATTTTTATGCGTGTCGTGTTTGCAGTAAATGTTTCTTTCTTTCCGTAAATTGTTTCATAGAGGGAATGCCATTAGTCATGCTATGCCAGGCTTGTCAATATAGTTGTTATCGTATAGTGGGAAATATAGGATACTATAATACATACATAATAGAACGGGGGAGTGGGCGGAGCCCGTGATGCCACTAAAATGTCACTAACATGTCAATTCACACGTATAAATGTCAACACGAAATGTGTTTTGACGTAACAATCGTTTCCAAATTTCGCATACAAAAATTATTTAGAAAATACCAAATTGCACACTATTTATATATAAATATGTATTAAAATTTAAACGAATTTTTAATGATTTTGAACATTAATCAAAAGTCTAAAAAGTAAATTTACTCAATCTGTCAAAACAACAAGTCGGGTTTGTAGTAGTGATAATACGACGTAATTGCTTGTATGTGTGCTCCCGGCGACGCCGATCCCAGTACAAAATAAGTTTGACAGCCATTCTATTGTGTATTAAAGTATTCTATGGTGGGAAAGGTCAAAAGACTTCATCAAGAATACAGGTGCACTAAAAGACTTAAATTAGCTTTTGTTAAAATCAATTTTGTTGATCTCGAGCACGGGATATATTTTGAAGGATGCACAGAAATTAAATAACCTGTAAGCTTTAAGAGAGGCAAGGACGCAGTCTCCAAGTGGAATCAGAGTAATCTTTCTGAGTCAGATCGAACACCTCTTCCTGTCAGTAGTGCAGTCGTGTCGACGATGCTGAGCAGATAACGTGGCAAGCTGCAGCTACCTTCTATGAGTCTATAATGGTTCGGCAACTGCTGCACGAGTTCGGGAAGGGACAGATCACACTCAGAGACAAAGCCGACAAAGCGTTCGTTAAAGTCCTCTTTTTGTTGATATAGTTCCACTACCAGAAACAGATCTATAGGGTCGCAGGCGCTTAGAGTCCCCAATGTACAGTAATGCGACCCCGAGGAGGATGATGGCTTGGGAGTGATCTTGAATCATCGTGATCGAGCTACAAGGGTGCTAGATGCTAAATGCCTAAGTCCGCCCGCCGGGAAGTACTAAATCGGATAGTATCCATTTCAAGTAAGAATTTTTCACTAAAAAAAAATTGCAGAAGGTAGTTAGGAATAAGTTAGGATATGTTGGCTCCCGATAAGACACCGTGAATATAATGTATTCGTATAATATGTATATACGCCATAAGTTGAAAACAATTTTTGATCGTGACCGTCTGTGCTTTCTATTTACGATACATTGTGTTACGTGCTGCCTATCGAAGTTTTTGTCTGCTACTGCGTTAAATTGATTACTTGCTTACGTAACTTAATAACAGGTTCATTATGCTTATAATGGAAAGCAGATTTTCAATAAAAAAATGGAATTTATTTAATACGCAATAATGAAAGGTGAGATAGCTTAACCTGTAATTCATTATTGAATTAAAAGTTATCGAGCAAAATTGTTAAGTTCCTATTTTTTAAGCAAACATAATATAATATCCGATTACGGTTTATATTTTACTGGTTTTGGGTTTGGGTTTTACGTCTCTGAGAGTACATATTTCTGGTTGTATATTGGAAAAGACTGTAACTCAGGGCTGATTAAAATTGTGAATCGTGATTTTAGACTTGTATTTACTACGTTTGATGAAGGAATTATATATATATATATATATATATATATATATATATATATATATATTAATAATAATATATAAATAAATAAAACTGACATTGTTTCGAGAACAGACGGGAATAGTTCCAATTCGCACTAGAGCAGCGTTACTTCTTAATATTCTTAGAAATAAGAGATCAATGCCCAGGACAGCAAAGTTGTTTGACCAAAACTGTGCACATGATCTTGGAAAATTGACAATCATTGAAAATTGACAATTTTACGCCTTGATACGTTCTTTACGAGTCAACCCTGGAGAAGGAGGAACGATGTTGGCATGTGCAAGCTTTGAATAAAATTAACTGAGGATTAAGATAAAATGTTTCATATGTAGTGGCTCATCGGTTTTCGTCATAAACTATATGAAACACAACATCGTCATGCTAATATTTCACGCTGGTATAAAATAATTGTTTCTACGTACGTGAGAAAAATTCTACAATTGGGTAAGTAAGATTTTCCTTAATAAGAAAATATGAAGAAATATTGGCATTTTATTTACCTCTTGCTTGAGATCTGAAGCCTCGTTTTCGGCAGCAGCGAGGCGGTCGCTGAGTGCCGCCAGCTGGGCATCGCGATCGCGCTCCACGCGGGCAATAGCTTCACGGCATCGCTTCTGTTCCTCTGCAATGCGCTCTTCACAACGACTCTCGATCTGCAGAACGATATAATGAGAATATTAATAGTGATACCAATGATCTGCGACTGGCTGATTCTGATCTTGGTGATGCTTCGGAATACAATCTAACATTTTGAACAGCACGAGTTATAGCGATAGTGCCATGCAAATTGTAAAAGGTCACTTTTTGTGTTGTATTATTAGATGATGTTATCAAAACAACATGCAGAACTTAAAACGAGCAATTGGTATTTTTATACAAATAGAAATTGAAAAGAAAAGACTTTTATTCAACATGGACACTCCTTTTTTGTCAATAATTTTATCTTTCCGTTTTGTTCTGAAACGAATCAGCTAGATACACTTTAAGTTTTGTTATGCTATACAAAAGTTCGTTGAAGAATTAAAAAAAAAAGTTAAAACCGAAGCTAGTGTAGTAGTGTTTGTTTGTGTGTATCACAAAATCTAGTTTGCCTCTGTCGTAGTCAGTAGTTGAAGTCTGTCGAAAAACCATCATGTTGTTTTTTATACATGTAAGGATGAAAAAGTAATTCACAGTGTATAATGTTGTTGCAGTGGGCAAGAGGTTACTATTTATAAATATACCCTCGATTATGTATAAAATATAGAAGCGTTGTCAACCCTAAGCACAAAGACGGATTACCTCGTTAGCTTGCTACTACTAAAAGAGCCCCCGGTTTTTGTCACTCAGTTTACGAATATCAGCAGCATTTTGCTAATATATCATCCTGGTATTCTAAAGTCAAATAGGGTAGACAAATAGAGCTTGGCTATACCACGTCTAAAATATTTTTTTTATAGAATAAGGGTGACAAACGAGCACACAGTCGACCCGATTATAAGTGGATGCTGTGACTCATAGACATCTACATCTATTCTCCATTAAGAATCAATGTGCAGATGTATTGTCACTCCTCAGGACTTAGATGTAATGCCTCGTATCCAGTAAAAAGTCTCCGGTTCTCTTTACTCGTCATACGAACACAGCATCATTAAGCTGCTATTTTAAGCTGGTATTCCATGAGAGCGTGGCTCTTCCCCGGTTGAGTCAACCCATTCGTGGTACTATCATATGGCTTTTCCACTTAGAAATGATTATTCATCTATGCACAACATTTTATTTTGTTTTCTATTCCGAGTTTAAAAAGTTTCTAAGGGTTTTGTGCCCAGTAAAATTTGTCAAGTGACGAAAGTGTTATTTAGAGCTTAAATTGCAATAGCAAGTGATCTATTAATATAATCTGGCACTAATATATTACCTAAAAAACCTAAATAATGCGCGGTGATGCTTCTATGACATAATAAGCGTAGTTCGCCGTGACTTGTATATATAAGTCGATCTTTGAAACATTACGGAAATTACGTAAACTACCAACTTTGTAACATTACAAGTGTATACACTTGAATACAGTACAGTTTTAGAACGATAAACCTCTGACCTTGACTTTATTGTTTTCGTATTTTATAAGCGGAAATAGGAATTGCCCGAAGTCTAAGTTTAATAAAACTTCGCGGGCGTTCCTTCCCAGTGAACCCAGCCGTGGTTAATAATTATACGGTATTATTCACTTTACTTTTCAATACGAAAACTCATTGATGCACTGGATAAAATTTTGAATACAATAATCGAGTCCAAGTCAGGTCACATTAAAATTTATAGTAGTTTTTTGTAACTTAAAAACGTCGGAAACAAAGAGATATGTAAAATTAATGGATATCATAGTTTTTTGTATTGATGTATTCTAGTATAGCACAAGTGGTAAAATTAAAAATTTTGTACAATCGACTTCAATATAAATAAAATGAGAACATTATTATCAACATATTCGAAGTAATTAAATGCGCATTGCGGTCTTGATGGAACTTATATGGAACCACACGAAAAGCACCAGCTTGCAATTATAACAAGAATCGTCAATGATTTCTTAAATTTACGGGAACACTACACATTGAATAAAACTAAATTTACGGATTTTATCGCGTTTATTTCACTACTTTTACTTATTTTTAATTCCCGACGTTTCGGGTGCTTTACAGCAACCATGGTCTCGGGGGGGGACTGAGATGTTTGACGTCCCAATGTCATAGTTAGTCCGGCTACCTTCAGTTTTTGAATATTAATTTTCGGTCCCATTTACGCAAAACGAGCTTATAGTATCATGAAGTCTTGCAGCGGTATGCTTAGGTTTGGGTTTAATTTTGTTAATTATAGGATCCCAAGCAGGTGGCAGCACCCACCCATCTTCTCTATTGAAATTTAGATGTTTTTTAATTTCAATAGCCTCGTGTATCATCCTTGGTAGGAATCGGTGTTCTTTTGCGAGAATTTGTGGTTTATCAAAACGAATGTAATGCTGGGGACGATCTTGAACATGTTCGCAGACTGCAGACTTCCCGGAGCGTCGGTGCTTCACGTCAGCTATATGTTCATGTTCATGTTCAATATATAGCTGACGTGAAGCACCGACGCTCACACACAATTCCTAAACACACACAATTGATAAACCACAAATTCTCGCAAAAGAACACCGATTCCTACCAAGGATGATACGCGAGGCTATTGAAATTAAAAAACATCCAAATTTCAATAGAGAAGATGGGTGGGTGCTGCCACCTGCTTGGGATCCTATAATTAACAAAATTAAACCCAAACCTAAGCATACCACTGCAAGACTTCATGATACTATAAGCTCGTTTTGCGTAAATCGAAAATGACATTGGGACGTCAAACATCTCAGTCCCCCCCCGTGACCATGGTTGCTGTAAAGCACCCGAAACGTCGGGAATTAAAAATAAGTAAAAGTAGTGAAATAAACGCGATAAAATCCGTAAATTTAGTTTTATTCAAAGAATCATCAAAATCGGTTTACCCGATTATAAAAAAAAATTAAAAAAGCATACAGTCGAATTGAATACTTCCTCCTTTATGAAGTCGGTTAAAAGTACACGAACGGGAGATAAAATCAATTTCAATTTTGTATCTTTTAGTTCCATCTCAATTTACAATTCAAATAGATACCATTGAACGTCTCAAGCGTTTGTGACTGGTGCCTAGTGGTCATTCACATCATTCTCTCAATCAACACCGCAATCGGTCACACTCTACAAGACAAGGTGATTTCATGAGAGAAATTTATGTGTGCATACATAATTTAAAATATTTTTAAGATATTATAACAAAAAAGTGAATGCTTAGTAAAGTCATTTACTAGATTTTAAAATTAAAACCGAACAGACAAAAATATTTTTTAAAGGTGTTTTTTTTAAATGACGTTCTCGATTTCGAAAATATCAACCTTTCAATCTTCTGCTACAATAGACCGCAAAAGTTCACAGCTGGACATAAGCCTCTCGTGTTGTAGGAAGGATTTGTCGTAATCGCCACGCACGGCAAGGTGATTGGCGATCGCAATACCAAGATGCATTGAATATTTGACACTGTCATGGGTATCTGATGTGGGTATTTTACGTTTTCATCTGGCGTAAAAAGATGGTTGTACCGCTATCTATCAGAAGCTTTAAGTTTCTTTCAACGGAAAGCGGAACAACGGAAAGCGGAATATTTGAATATTTCACATGTTAAAATGTTTACCACGTGCTTGGCAAAAACCTATATGTCTGAAAAATTAAAAAAAATTCGAAGACATGTAAAGACCGCCAACACGCATTGCACACTTCGCTTGCCCCAAAACGCTCTCAGTAAGGAGAGAAGGCTTGTATCCAGGAGTGGAACATATTATGAAGGGTGTAACTATATAACAAGTTATCGGACAAAATGACACATATATATTATAACAAAATGTAGTTAAATTTTTAAACAAAAATGTTTCGAATTTGTTTATAAAACACGAAAAAAATTTTTCCAGATATTATTTGTTAGAATCATATCAGTCAGAAGCTAATATTTGACTTAATTTTTAATATTTGACTTAATTACCTCTAATTTAGTAACGTTAATATTCTTAGGTCAAGAAGTTTATTGCGTTTTGGCCAAATTTCTAGGTAATTTTATTACTAAAAGTTAGAAAATAAAAAAACAAAAAATATTATATCAGATATACACTCTGTACTTTACTAATATATTTACGGGATTAATTTTGCATAAATTATAGTGTCGTCTAGCTGACTCTTTTATTTCCTTGAATTATTTTGAATTAGTCTAAAATATGGGTTTTCTTTGTTCATAAGTTCTTCTAAATTATTAGATGTACTTATAGGAACTGTTATGTACTGCTGCGTTAGCGTCGTCTTGTATGAATTAAGGTTACAATTGATCTACGTTGATTGACTAAATTAGAGGCCACCTAGAATCAAACGTAAGAATTTTATTTTAGACTAGCTTTTCTCCGCGAAGTCGTTCGTGTTGAACTTTAACTAACAAAAAAAATTTCCTGGGAAAACGATCGGACCAAGAATTACTCAGTAAGTGCCATGAAATTAAAGGTAATCTTCACTGGCACTCTACTTCAATGAATACTTAACGTTTTCCGGTGTAGTAAGCCTGATAAGATATAGTAAACACCGGTTTTTACTAATACATCACATTATTCATATAAATGGAATTTGTTATAACAATTAATTAAAAACCGTTAACACCCATTAAATGTGAGCCGTTTAAGATGAGAAGACAGTTAACTCGGCTAAATGGCGGTTACAAACAACGTATTATTGGTTCTCATGAATATCGAATGCACATTGTTTATAATTATTTAATTTGATATTTACAAATAAAAAACTGTTTTTACGCTTTACGAGTACATGCGATGCGATTACCTGATGAATGCCAACTCGAATAAATGTGGTTGCAACTATCAATTAATGCCTTTAAATAATGCATAGGTAACGCTAATGAAAATCAGATTTATTTCCAACAATTAGAATTTTTAGTTGAATTTTTAGTTCAGTTAAACGGAAGTCGGCTGATAGATATAGTACCTAGTATCAATGAATCGGCACTGTTTTACAAGTTTTTGTTTTCAAGTATTCAAGTATTTGCTGATTAAGTGTACCAACAGGTCTTAAAATACTTTGTATTTGTACTTATCACTTAGTAACATTTTACAGGCGTTGCAAAAAATACATTAAAGAGGTATAAATTATTATTATGTACAAATAATAAAGAGCCGTGGTACCTAAAGAGTCGTGGTAGCTCAGATGGTTAACGCTCGCTGTAAATATAACGGAACGCGAGTAACCCGGGTTCGATCCCCACTGGCACTAATGAAATTGTTAATTGCAATTTTTATGTGCTGATTTGCTGATTTACCACGTGGTCGGCGGTGAAGGAAAACATCGTGAGGAAACCTGCATGTCTAAGGAACAAGAAAAAAAATATTTCGAAGACAAGTGAAGTTCGCCAACACGTATTGGGGCGGCGCGGCGGACACTTCCTTGCCCTAAAACCCTCTCAGAAATGAGGGAAGGCCTGTGCCCAGCAGTGGTACGTATATGGGCTGCAACTTTACTTTTTTAACTTTTTACAAACAATAAGGAACACTTTAAAGTCAACATTTTGAATTGTAATTTAGAAGATGTCGTTACATATCTTCTCTTTCAGTTTCTCCCTGTCGACTTCTTAGGACACAAACGGAACGATATGGGGTAGTGGATATTCTTTTACCGCCACTACACGTTACGTATATATTTTTTTTTATTTGATAGAATGATTAATGTACCATAGGAACGGTACGTGAGGTTGTTAACGTCCACAGCATATAGCGTCAATGGTAACCTAATTTGCACAGTTTCACACATTTCCACAGGTTTTACTTCCCTACGATGAGCAGTACCGTGTAAAGTTACGTTAAAGAACCCACCACTTCTGTGACATTTTAACATAACCGTAAACTAAAATGACTTACGTACCTCTCTAATCTGTTCGTCGAGCATGTGGACTCGGGCCTGCAGCACCGCGTTGTCGGCCTTCGCCCTCGCGTACCGGTCGTCGGCAGTACTCTGTGTGTCCGCCAAGGAGGTCACTTGTTGCTGTAGGAGCTGCACCTACGGAAGAATAGGTACCATTATACATACACATTCCAAATAACTACATAATATATAATCCGTACTATTTGCTTAATGTACGTATACTATACGTCCGTTAATTCACAGAATACCAGCGTAACATAGCAGCTTAATACTGCTGTGTTTCGTATGGTGAGTGTAGAGATCCGGCGACCCTTGTCTACTGGAAACGAGGCATTCCATTTTAGTCCTCAGGGGTAACAACTCATCTGCATTTTGATTCTTAATCGAGGATAAATGTAGATTTGATGGCTATGGGCCACAGCATCCACTTACCATCAAGTGGATTGTGTGCTCGGTTGTCACCCTATAAAAAAAATATCAGCCCAGGTCTCCTTACAAGTTAATACAGTAAGTAAGTACCGCTTACATCGGTGTAAATCCAGAGAAGAAACTAATTATTTCTATATCTACACAAATATATCTAAGAGATTTTGGTATATTGACACACACCAAAAGCATAGCACTTAGTAAGCACAGCAAGTTAGTGATATCAGGAGGCCTTCCTCTTCATCTTCACCGGTTTGAACATTTTTAATGGTTGTTTTTATCTGATAGATAAAATTAGATTTTTAATAAATTTGTCTAATAGACTTTTAAATTACAGTGGAACGAGATGGTTTTATGAATTCACACATGATATCGATCTTAACGTTATCTTGTACGTAATATATCACGACTAATTTTAGTATTCGAAATGTAAAATTTATATTATATTGTTATATTATTTATAATATCTATATGTATAGTATCACGAGACTTTGGGGCCGCAGCTTAACCTACACCTGACAACTGGTTACACCTGGTTTAGCCATGAATAAATTGAATACACATAAGTTTAACTAAGAAGTGTATAGTGTTGGTAAATACGCAATAAATAATTTAAAGAGTGTAATCTTTTTTTAATTTTTATTTGCTATATTTTTAGCCAATAGGTTGCGGTTAAACTTTATTTTAAACGGATTAGCATAAAAAGATAACATTAGCCTACGCTGAGAATTAAGTCTTAAGTTTAGCCTGCCGACTAATCATTACAATAATATTAGTCGTTATACATTTTACCTTAAAATATAGTGCTACTTGTGTTGCTAACATATTTTAATAATAAAATAGAATGCACATAGAAATGAATCGCAAGATATAAGAAAGCTTTAGATGCTGCAGCTATATTATGGTTGCGGCACGAATGGGTCGACTCAACCACGGTAGGACCACGCTCTCACAGAATACCAACGTGAAATAGCAGCGAGGTATTCCATCTCAGTCCTCAGGGGTCGACAACGATTCTACATTTTGATTCATAATTGAAGATAAATATAGATGTCAATAAGCCACAGCCCACAGCATCCACTTTACATCAGGTGGACTGTGTGATCGTTTCTCACCCTTATTCTATAAAAAAATTCTTTTTTCTTTTTAGAAACTGAGAGTGACACAAACGAGCACACAGCCCACCTGATGGTTGATGGAAGCTGTTATCCAGAGGTCTACATTTATAATGTACTAAGAACTAAAATGTAGATGCGTTGTCACTAAAGAGGACAAAGATGGAATGTCTCGTTCCCAGTGAAAAAGTTATCTGGTTCTCTACACTCACGATACGAAACAGCAGCATTGAGCTGGTATTCTGTAAGAACTTGATCCCTTTCCAGTCAAGTCGACCCATTTATGCTATATTCGTAATATGGTTGCGGCGTGGTTCTACCCCGTATAAATATGTTTATGATTAAAAGACATGCAGGATATCAACAGCTGAAGAAATAATAATTCCAATATATAATAGTACTAGCTTGCCAGGCAGACGTTGTTCTGCCCTTTTCGACGACCCTTTATCATGTCCTGTTAAAAATCCTTAAATTCGCAAAAAAAATTTGTTGGTATACTCATAGGCAAAAAACTATCCTATCTCTCAAGTTGGGCCAAACTGCACACGGTGTGCAAATTTGATTAAAATCGGTCAAGTAGTTTAAGAGTCCATCGCGGACAAACAACGTGACACGTAATTTAATATATATTAAGATGTACATACTACAATTAATTAAATCAGTGCTAGTATTATGTTAAAATACGAGTGAACCCGTATACAAATTTATATATTATGTACATACTTTGAGAAGGTCAACGAAGGAGTGCATTGTTGATTTATAAAATGCATTAAAACGCGATATCAAAGTTAATGTCCGGGTAATTAGCCTCTACTTTAAGCGATGTATTTATTTATGTAATTGGTTTCTCGGTAACGGCTCTAACGTTCAAGGAGGAGATTTTCATTTCGAACTGAGTGTTTTTTTACGTACGTTATTACGCGCTATCTTCGTCAATTGTCACCGAATTTAATGATTCATTTTTATTAAATTGTTTTAATTTTTTTTTATTAAATTGGTTGTTCAATTGTATTTTTGAAGAAAACATTCCATCACTAAACGTGAGAAAATAGAGGATAGTTTTTAATGTAACTATGTAGACGACATAGAGATTGTGATATTATTCTAAAGTCCAATCAATAGTGTAAAAAATTTACTTTCAACAAAATATGAAAGCAAACGTCATACTTACTGAAGTCGGTGCTTTAATTCGTATATATAAATATATATAGAGGTATATTATATCTCAGCCATTCAGCTATTTATTACTTACGTAAAAAACAAAAATACATTTCATTCTCAATAATATCTACTAAATTTCTTTTTCTTTTTTTTACTTTAATGGTATTAGTACCGACTTTAGAATGTGAAACTATTTTATTATTTCTAGACTTTGAAGTCGGCAGTTACCTTTTGTTGAAAGCTAATTTTTGTATTAGGATAATTTTACTTTCCAAGTTTATCTGGACAGGTCTCATTCCTGAGAAGATTATATTATTTAACGCCGATAAAGCTCGCCCGCTTAGGTTCAATTAATGAGAACCATTCGTATACAACATAAAGCAAATTTGTTAACTAGTTAAAGCAAGTGTTAAAGAGCAACTTTTAATTACTATATACCTGGCTTTATCTTTACATTTACTATAGAAAGATCTTTGTGCATACATATAAATGAAAGTGCATACTCAAGACAGTATTCTATACAGACCGGTTTATCATACAGTTGTTAGCAGCTGAGGATCGTCATGAAAACTTGTTTAAGACTATGCAAAAAACGTAAAATGTTTTCTTATGTAGACAGTGGTGCTAATGCGGTGTAGTTAATGTAGGTTTTTGTTTATCAACTTTAAATAACCATCGTAGTTTTATCTTTATATATATAACCGTTGGTGGGTCTGTTAGTGATCGTGTAACTTCAGAACAACTTGAATGACTGGTCATATTATGCAATCAATATAATTTTATTTTGTGGAAAAGATGGTAGGTACACATCTAAATATCGTATGAGTGGCAATGTAATCAACCAAGTCAAATTATTATCTAATTCTACATTTTCATGGATCAAAATGACTCATATTCACAATATAATATGTTGGCTTAGTGCCAAAAAAAGAAAATCTAAATCTGGACCTAATCGAGTTATTAATAAACTTTATTTTAGCTCCGAGAATAACTCATGACGTCTCAAGATAAAAAATCCAGAATATAAAGATAAAAAACGCAATTTTAGGTCTCTTCTTTCGATGTCTGTAAGGCATGACTCCATCCAGAGTACCATTCAGAGTCACTGGCTAGGAGTTGTCATAGGATTAAAATGACATGTGACTAACAATACTAACATGGTTATAACCTTATAAATATTATTACTAACCACAATATAAACTGAAGACCTGAAATAAAAAAAATATGATTTAACTAATAGAAAACAATAGGAGAAAATTGTTCACAATAGAAAATTTAATCATTAAAAATATGGATTGATTTTTTTTAATCAAACATTTTTAATTTTTGATTTGTATTATAATTAGTACTAGTGATGTACCATATCCTTTGTGTTCAGCGATCGAAATAACCCAAATGATTTAGCACACAACTGATTCAGACTTATTTTAAAGTTGTCCTTGAGTTACGCAGCAACATGCGCTGTTACGGATGATTCCGTTTCAAACTTGTATTTTCATTAATTACTCTCCAACGTATTAAGTTACAGTAAATCGATTAAATAAATCAATTTAATAGTAAAGAATATCGCAAATATTTTTAAATATTAAAGATAACGCTAGATTGTGGCAACTCTAACTTATGATTATCATAGTACAGATCTAAGGAAGTATGTTAACGGATATTGAACAGATTCTAAACAGGTATTCGCCAACAGTAAGATGATGGATATGTTTAATTTGGGAAGCTACTGAAATAGGTAGAAAAATAGAGTCTTAAATGAGTTATTTAAAAAAAGCATCATAAATTCTTGTAAAACGCATGGTTGTGGGCTGCCTGACCGGCTGGTGGAATTTCGAGTTCTGATCACTTCCACTACCGGTGCGAGGCTACCGAGCGAGGACCTTTGTAACGCATCAGTTGTTTTTCAAGCTACTCGTATGTGACCGGCGCATTGCCACCTAAGGACAATTAACCGTTGGGCTATGTCATTTTTACTTAAAAAACATAATATACCAATTTTTGTTGAAATTGTTAAAAATTAAGGCAGTCGGGAAAAAATTAAAGTTGGTTGTAAAATTGAATAGGCATTCTTGTTACTTGAGTATAAAACCTAATATGGTATGTATTACACATTATGAATAATGAAGACAGGAAGTACGGTGACAAACGGGAAAGAACTGATTTAAAGCATCGTGAGTAACGTTCTGATGATTCCTTTTAATAGCTCGTCATAGAGATTTTATTCGTTAGATAATTTGGGAAAAAGAAAATTTCTTTAAAGTATGTGTGACTTATTTTTGTAATAGATCATATATTTGATGATTCATATTGCTAAAAGGTAACGTTTTCTCATAAAATACACATGTGTATTCTAAAAAATTATTTTCAAAACTTCGTATTTTACAATTAAGAGTGATAAAGATAAGACAATGTTTTATACCTAGAATTTAT